GCTCTTGAGCTTGTGGCGAATCAAAAGATTCTGATCGCATTAATGGTGGCGCAGATGGTGACTCACACCACTCTGGATTAGCAACAATGGCAGAGGATGAGGAAGTTAATATAGGAATAGGAGGCGGGGCCCTTTTTGGAGGTGAGCCAGAAGCTTCAGGATTTGTAGCCAAAAAGAATTCATCAGCAGTTCCCTCGCTATTCTGAAATATGCATAAGACCCCCAAACATTTAGAAACTGACCAATACAAGTTAAGCGAGAAAGAGAAGGCGGATTTAGCATCTCGGTCACAATCATAGATAAAGAAACTAAGGCAAGCTATATATGTTAATAAATCATCCCTCAAAAAGGATTTTCCAGAAATGCAGTTGATTAACTTGCAATATGCTTCAAAATGTTGCAAGTTGACAAATGAGAAAACATACCATATAAGGCAATCCAATGTGATCATGATAGTTCCGAATCGCTTCAGCAAGTTCAAGCATACCACCTACAAAATACAATACATGTTACTCTAAAAAACATAAACGATCACGAAAACATCGGAAGAAAGAAGCATCTAGCTATCAAATTACCTTTCTTAGCGCAGTTAATGACATAATCAACACTAACTTGATCTAAATCGACATCATCAAGAGTGACTGCCCCAGGAGGCATTATAACTTTCTTGATTAAGCTACCTGCCAACATAAAATCCAACAGTTTCCGCCTATCTCGGCGATACCTCTGCAGAATCTCAACAGCATTTTCTCTACATAGATGAAATTACAACAGTACATCAACCAAAATGCACAAGAAAATTTATTACAGTAGCAACATCACATCAAAAGAAGAAAGGAACATACTCTTCCATGTCGATCCAGCTGCAATCAAACACTCTAGAATCTCAGATTTCACTTAACCTGCGAAATCGGAAGCTCCTAAATCAACAAATCAAATGGGAAAAACTTCAATGAACCAATTACACTGCATTAAATGCAAAATCTAGTACTTACCAATCATTTCTTCAGATTCCTCGCGACACTTAGTAGCGAGATCGAGCCTCGTGGAGATGGTAGACAAGTCAAAGAAAGAGGAAAATCAAACGCGTTTTCGCGGAGAAGGATTTATTTTAGAAAGAAGATTTGGAGAAGACGAAGATGATCTCGATATGTAACAAAGGAATTAAAACTGTTTAGAAATTCGGAGGAAGTGAGAGAAAATCTTAGAGAACGCGACGGGGACGAAAGATCTATCTCGGGAAGAAAATTAAAAAAGCCCACAAAAGGAATAAGAAATAAAAATATTTATTTTGCTGATTTGTCTCAAATCAAATCCATTTTGTTATTTTCTTTGAGTTATTAGTCAAATTTAAAGTCTCAATTTTGCTGATATCAGTATTTAGTAGGTTAC